ATTTCTTGGCACTGTGCCAACTTTCCTCTGCGCTTCATTTCATCTCTTTCAAGTCCTTGCATGTCACTGCGATATAATTCAAAACCTTTATGGGCTAGGATCCAATGAACCCAACCCAAAGAGGAAACTGACTTTCTCATTGTTTATTTGGAACCATGAAGTAGAATACATTGGACACTTGTTTTCAATGTTTCATTGAGCTGGAACTGAATTGAAACAGCTATTTCCAGTGAAGCTTTCCGATGTGGAATGATTTAGAGTAGGGGTTCTCAAATTACGGCCCGTGGGCCACATGCAAATACAAATATTGTATTTGTTCCCATTTTGTTTTTGTTTTTACTTCAAAATAAGATATGTGCAGTGCGCATAGGAATTTGTTCATAGTTTTTTTTAAAACCATAGTCCGGCCCTCCTACGGTCTGAGGGACAGTGAACTGGCCCCCTGTTTAAAAAGTTTGAGGACCTCTGATTTAGAGGCTTCCCATGTTAGATCAAGAGGACTAATTAGAATATGAAGTGACCCCAAACTTTCCTTGCTCTGATCATTATCACGGGCTATCTCACTCTTTGCTTAGAATTTTGTTAGTCAGAGGCTACAAAACCTTGTATGAAGCTGGGGTATTCTAAAGTACTCTGGGTCTATTCCAGCAAGTACTCCACCAGGTATCTCTGTGTAAATGATCTCGGGCTAGGTCTCTGTCCTAACCTCTGTGAATCCCACAGTAGACAGTGTTATCTGTCACTAGCTGGCTCTACTCAGTGAAACCTGGGCACATAGGTATGGTATCGTGTATGGTGATATTATATACTGCTGGGGCTGCCTGTCCAGTAGCCATTCATCCTGCTTTGGTTGCAATATGGCAGAGCTCACCTGCTACAGTAGAGGTTGACCATGCATGGTTTCCCAGACTCCTCTGTAGCCAGCAATGGCCATGTGACGCAGCTCTGCCAAAAAGACATAAATGGAAGTATTTTGGGAGAGCTTCTGGGGAAGATTTTCCTCTCTGATAAAAAGAGAGACGTGAGAGAATGACTCTCTTACAATTCTTGTTGGCTCCTTCCTGATGTGATGTCAGTAACCAAGGCGGCTATTTTGGGGCCATGAGGCAACAGCCTAAGGATGAAAGTGGAGTCTTCTGAGGATTCTGAGAATGGTGAGGAGGATGGGAACAGATTACATCCTTGATAATAATTGTTGAGCAGCTGCACCAAACCTGGAAAAGAACTTCCTACTTTCAGGAATGAAACTCCTGTTGTACAGAGCACGTTTAGACAGGTATTCTGTTACTTACTGCCCAAAGCATCCTATTTAGTACCAAGTAGACTGCTTGGTAATTAATAAGTTCTTGTTTAATGTTTCTTAGGAGGAAGAAGCCACTGGTCCTGATGCCTGGCTACCTCTTCCTCATTGTTATCCCATTTACTCATTTACTTGTTGGTTCACCTTACAAAGTTTTTTAGTGAGGGCAGGACTCTTGACTATTTGGTTTGCTACTGCAGTCCCAAATCCCATCTATAATAATAAAAGCGTAATATGCTAATTAGACTGGACAGCAAACAACCTTCCGGATGAAGCCGCAGCAGAAGGGGCCAAGGAAGAGGCAGTTAGGAGTGATCAAGCAGGCAGGCAGAGTGGTTAGGAGCAATGAGGCAGGCAGGCGAGTAGTTAGGAGCGATCAGGCAGGCAGGTGAGTGGTTAGTGGCGATCAGGCAGGCAGGCAGGCAGGTGAGCAGTTAGGAGCCAGCGATCCCAGATTGCAAGAGGGATGTCTGACTGCTGGTTTAGGCCCCATCCCCATCCCCCGAGGGGTCCCGGATTGAGAGAGGATGCAGGCTGGGCTAAGGGATTCCCCTCCACTCCCCCCCCCCGCACCCGCACATGAATTTTGTACTGGGCCTCTAGTTATGTAATAAATGGTCATGAGTATGGACAAGTACATTTCCTCCCTCCTAGAAGGCAAGTCTGCACAGAAAGTCAAATAGCTTGTGAATACACAAGCAGACAAGGGGCAATAGTTGCATGACTTAAATGATTGAATTTGCTGAACCATGATACCCCAGCACACCCATTCCCACACAGAGATCTCCCCTGACTCCTGCTCGTGACCCACCACCTCAGTGCTGAAGACCCCTGCCAATTCTTGCTTCCAGTGCCTAAGGTCCTGGTTAATAGGCTACCCCATCAGACTTAAGTTGCTTTAGATATGTTAATATCTACTTGGTTAATACTTAATAGGGTTAAGGTCAGACCTGGGAACAATCTTTTCTTTTAGAAGACTTTGCATATATTGGTTCTGATCTATTGTATGTATTTTATAGTTAATTTTAAGAACTGTGAAAGCAGACTCATATAGGACTTATCTTCACTTCTTTAAAAGTTTGTTAGTTATTCTATTTGTTTAGATTCCTTCAGGATCTGCATTGCTAATTATTTTAGCCAACAATGGTCTGTGGGGTGGTCAATGCCCATTCAAGGGGGAGATTTAACTCTAAAGATTAAAGCCTTCTGGAAGGCAGTGTTAGGTAAGGGGGAAGGCTGAAAACATGCATAGGCATACAACCGTGTTCTGCACTTAACAACTAAAAAAATATTCTTGCAAGGTTGTCTGTAATAAGATCCTTGGAAAATCCTCATCTTCAGTGGAACTTAACCTTCCAGCTCAACGTACTCTGTGCTAATCAGGTGTGAGGGAAACAAGCAAATCTGGACCTGGAACTCCCACAGGTGAGGTATTCGATGCCTGGAATCTTTAGCAGAAGAATCTCAAGACCTTGTCTCCATTTTCTACCTCAGACCAAAGGGGACATTTAATGACCAGATCACGCTCCTAAATTTATTATCTTGAAACAATAGGCAGGGGAGGTTTTGTTTTGACCAAGGGCACTGCAATGGGCCAGCACTGTGTGGCCTCCTTTTGTTTCCTGTTTGGGCTGCTTTTGAACTTGGAGTAAATTTCCATTCTTACCATGCTTTCTTTCAAGGGTGCTAACCATGGTTGAAAGGAGGTGGAAGAGAAGTGGTAGAGACAAGCTGAGGCCGGAGGGCTTTTCCTAGAGAGCTGACTCCTGAGGCGTGCCATGGCCCAGCGTCAGCCCTGATGGGGTGCCCAGAGCCTGTCTGGAATGCATGGAGGCTGGATCTCAGCACTCTCATCTCTAGTGTTAGGAGCATTCCCTGAACATGTGTAACTGCCCTTAGTATCCATTCTCACCCCTGTGTGCGGAGGACAATGATAGTTGAGAGGATACCCCAGGGGATGGGCCCATAAATATGAATTGAACAGGCTTTGCTCAAATACACCTCTGGTGCTACTACCATGTATAAGAAATGAGTAAGATTCTAGCACCTCGAGATACAAGCGACACATACTTGCCCATGTGATTGTCAATATACACGATAGCTATAAAAGGCATGCGACTTTTAAACAAGATTTACACGACACTGAGCTGTGATTATAATTTATTCATATTCTTACAAAGAAATTTGTTATTACAGACAATAGGAAAAAATACGAGTGCTCCCTAAGAAAATGCAAAAAATACTCACTGAGATCAGGCTAATACTTAGTAACAAAAATTGCTTGTGAAAATCAATACCTTTTAAATTAGACAATATACAAGGCTTTGAAATGTTCCTATTTACAAGTCTGTGTGAGCTCATGGGAGAAGGCCTGTAATTAGCACACTGGGGAGGCCCATTCTGAAGATCTGACTTGGAGTCATTTCAGAGGCCTCTGGTTCACTCCCACCGCCCAGGCTCTTCCTCCTGGTCATCCTTGGTCATGCTGGCCCTTAGTCCTGCGCCCCCTCCCCCAAGTCCTATTTCACAGATTCCCTTACCAGAGAGATTTCAGTTCAAACACTGAAAATTTAGTTTTTCCACAGGAACATACGTGACTCTATGACAGTTGCAAAAGGCTTTGGTCACAGGGTTTTTAAACTGGAACAATGTTTGTTTTCCTGAGAAAAGGAAGAAGTGAACTCTCCCTCAAGTATTTGTAGGTTTACTTCCCTTTTTATGCATGTCTATTGATTCAGCAAACTGTATATATAAATATTTTTTAAAATATATTTTTATTGATTTCAGAGAGGAAGGGAGAAATAGAAACATCAGTGATGAGAGAGAATCATCGATCAGCTGTCTCCTGCATGCCCCCACACTGGGAATTGAGCTGGAAACCGGGGCATGTGCCCTGAACAGGAATCAAACCATGACCTCCTGGTTCATAGGTTGACCCTTAAACACTGAGCCATACCAGCTGCATGTATATTTTGCACTGGAGCACTGCAAACCCGAAGAGGGAAAATCCTTTAAGATTCCACAGTTTCTCTTTCTGCATTCTCCATATTGAACTGATACAAACTGAAGGAGAAGGGGATTGGCAGAACTTTCTACCACCATCTCCAGCCCATTTGGCTATAAAAATCTTTATAGAACGGATAACTTTTAAAAGAAAAATGGGAGAATCCTTTAACTGGATGTCTTTTTGGTGGCTCAAATATCATTGGTTTCTGAGAGAGAATATTTTGAGTGTTCAGAAAATAACACACTTTTAAAGTCAAAATTTAACAACTTCTAAACACCTAGAAGCAATTTCACTGTAACTTTCAGTCTTTGTAACATGTAAGATATCCTCAAAGGAATTGAAAATATGATTTTAAAGGGCCCTCAGTTGTTGATGACTTAATTCTACACAATCATGACATTTACAAGATTAATTTAAGGATTAAAGTAAAAATAGCTATGCCGAACATTTTATTAAACTGTGACTTTTTTAGCCCTGGCTGTTGTGGCTCAGTTGGTTGGGCGTTGTGTTCAATTGGGGGTTGCCGTATTCAATTCCCCGTCAGGGCACATGCCTGGGTTGTGTGTTCTCACCCCGTAGGGGACCTGTAGGAGGCATCCAATCAGTGATTCTTTCTCATCATTGATGTTTCTATTTCTCACTCCCTCCCCCTTCCTCTCTGAAATCAATGAAAATATATATGTTTTTAACAACCTGAGAAATATTTTTTAAAAATCTTTTTAAAAATGTAACTTTCTATACTATTTAGGAACTGGTTAAGCCAAGAACTTCTCTTATCTCATTGAAGACAAATCCATTCTCACAAGAAAAAGATAATAAACTCCTCCTAAAAAATCCCTTGCAATCTCCAAGAAAAGTAACAATACAGAATAATGTTGACTGACAGAAATTCTTTCTCCCTAACGCAGCTCTGTTAGCCTGAAAAGAAACAACCATCTTCTGCAAGTGAAACCCACACATTGACAACACAGAGGCCGTCCTGCTGAGGAGCCGGGAGCAAGCTCAGCACTTTATCAGCCTTGCCATGCTGACCACAGCTTATCATGTGTAACGTGCATTGATTTTTCACAAGTCAAACAGCTTATCTGAGATTTTGGGGTTGACTTCGATTTTACGACCATGAATTCCGTTTCCTTAAGGCTTTATTTGGTTTACAGAGCTTAATTTTTAATACTGTTAACCCCATCTAGCCAACCAAACATAAAAAACGTCAATAAATATCAATAATTAGCTCTAGTCTCAGTTCCTCTTTCTGCTGGAGCATTTTGGCTTTGTAAATACACTCCAGTCTTCATGGCAATGCCCCACGAGGGTTTAACATTCCATAGCCAGAGCGTGTGGTCCCGATGCGTCTCTCACATGTTTAGGGATGTCCCTGAAGTCTAAGAGAAAACTGCAAAATGAGCTTAAGAACAGATAGCTGGTGGGTTAGCAGGAAAGAGGTTACTAGTGAAAAACAACGATTTACTGAGACTGGAAGCCAACTGGGGCAGTTAGTCAGAAATGACCGTGACCACCGTTGTGGATGAAGGTTGCTCTCACAGAGGGCTTTCCACCAACATTTTCTTGGCTTGTAGGTAGAAGATACGGTTTTCTTCAGGGTAAGTGACTTTACTGAGGGGCATCCTGTAGAAGTTGGGGTTTTTCGTGGTCAGCAAGAGGAACAGTAGTGTGGCCAAACAGAAGGGCCAGGTGGCAGATGGCAGTCCGGCCTGAGGAGAAGAGACGAGCACGAGTTCCTTTGAGATCCTGTCGGAAAGCTAATCCACACATAGCACCACCTCTCACTCCATCCTCATTCTGCTGGGGATTGGCCACGGGGGTAGGGAGGGGATGTGGGGGGGGGGGGGG